ATTATCATTGACTGCAGCCATGATTGAGATCAGCGCTCGTCTCACTCGAGGAGCCGTTTACTTCACTGAAGAGACCATCAAATGTGTGATCACTTTCACGAATGTCAACCAACTGTCCATTCATAGCAATCACAACAACCACAGCAATGGCTTAAATGGCGGACCGAGTGGTGTGAAGACCAGACCACCGAAGGACAGGTAAATGAGTGACAATGAAATGACTCACTCATTGATGGCATGGATGTGATTGACAGGGAAGTGGAGACTCTTTGTTGGGCCGGCGTTCAGATCCACTGTTACTGCAGTGTGGATGAGACCAAAGTGGTGGACAACGATCACCAGTCTTCAGCGCCGGCAGTTCAGACCTCAACGGACACGTCATTCAATCCGTGTCTAATGAGGGGAGAAAAGGGTCGCGTTTTATACGCTTCCAGTCCTAAGATATTGTTCTGTGATCTCAACCTTTCGCCAAACGAAAGCAAATGCTATGCCTATAGCGAGACGATACCCGATTGGGTTCCGCCCTCTTATAATGGCCTCAAAGTGAAATACCACTACAAGCTATCCATCGGCACTCAGAGGGTTAACGCATCCATTCAGTTGCTGAGGATCCCCATCCGCATCCTCTCCATCGACAATCACTGCAATCCCAACCCAATCCCCAATTCACTGAATGCCAAACACCGGAACTCCAATCAAAATCACGAATCAAATGATGACACCAGCGATGAGTGCTTCGTTGACGATCCCAAACGCAAAGACTCTGTGGTGTCGACGGAGTCCACGAACTGTGCCCTCAATGAGACCAACGACTCGTCGCCTAACACTGTGTTAGACGTATCGCTTCATAGACTCGACTGTTTGACTGCAAAGCGTTGTCCACAGAGTTATGTCATAACAAACCAATTGGGAAAAGTGGCCAAATTTTGTGTCTTGAAGGGCACCTTCAAATTGGGCGAAGACATTGTAGGCATTTTCAATTTCGCTGAATCTACCGTTCCCTGCGTTCAGGTATGCGCTCACATGTGATTGCAATTCAATCTGAAACTAATCTTTTGATTTCTTGTGTCCATTAGTTTTCTGTGACTCTTCAGAGCGAAGAAGTGATTCGAGAGGAATATCGCGTTAAAGACTTGAAGCCCTCGTCATTCACTCAGACGACAAGTTATGGCAAATACAACGAGTTTTGTCTTCACATGAATCACTCGCAAATGATACTATCGGTGCCGTTGACCGTAACGCCTACTTTCGTCAGTGATATGAGTAAGTGTTGGAAGTGATGACAAGACATGGAAATTAAGTGCAATTATTGATACGATATGTATTGTATTTACGAAATCAGTATCCCTTTCGTGGAAACTTCACTTCGAGTTCGTGACCACAAAGCCAGAGGACACGCAGAACACGGTTCGCACGGATTCTCAGGGAGTGATGGAACAGTCGCCGGCACTTCTGAACGTGCAGACAATGGTGTGGGACCTACCGATCCTTATATACGCCACTCATCCCATTCAAGTGGCCCGAGGTTTTCAAATACCTGCCGCCAGTACTCTAACTGTTTAGTCCATTGGACGCAACAGTCTATTGGATTTAGTTATATATTTATTTTAAATTAATTATACAATTATTAAATTTCAATTCAATTATACTTTAATGATATCTACAATAAGTTTATATTTTTAAAAAGTTTTATAACTATTGAGAACTCGACATTAGCCCTAATTATATAATTATATATATTTTTATACAATAAAGCTATTCATCAAAGTATTTCCGGTCCTCCTCTCTATCCAAACAAAACAATTATTCATTAAAACTCATGTTTTTATCAATTTTCAAACCATTTATACTTCAATTATCTCCATCTCGAGAGGTGTTATTGGTTTGCGTTCATATCGTTTAGGCATCAGTTCCTCTTCAATACCACTTCCGCGTGGAGTCACACCAATCGGTGGACCAGAAGTGCTTGAAGACACCACACTCTCTACAGTACCATAACATCCATAACACCACTCATTAATTATTCAAATTATGGTTATTATTATTATTATGATTGCAAACAACAAACCATTCACTTGAGCACCGGTTGTCCTCACATTCCCTCCCTTTTTGAATCTAATGAGTGGTAAATGAGGTTTAATTACCTGTTGTTTGACACGAAACACAATTAACATATCATACGGTATATTACATAGACATTGATAAATAGATGATCTAGTTTATAATTCAATTACAATCAATACTTACTGTCCAAACCCTTTGTGTGTTTGAAGTCATTAGCAATGATTTACTAAATTGACACCAAATTCAAGTTATTTCCCAAAAATAGATTTGTGCCCTAATTTAGCCCCAATTTGGACATTCACTCACAAAATACTGTTTGTTTTGATTGAACACTAAATACTCAAATTGGATGTTTGCCTCAACTCTTATAATACAATGAATATGTTTAAAGGGCTATAACTATGATACAGTATCAGTGTAAATTGATTGGCATTCAATTGTGTCAACTGTTAAGCACTGATTCAGTGATTCAATGAGATCTCAATTGATTGCCAAATAAGTTGTGATGTTTACACATTGACAACACATTCACTTTTGTGCCCTTTATATAACATTAGATCTGTATCTCCTTTATGTGAATGTTATGTAAAAACGTATGGAATATGAGAACATAGCTATAACTTTGGTCTCGTTATTCTGTGGTTCTCTCATAACATTTAAATTGTGACTTGCAAAGTATCATGCACATTCTTGTTAAACGATATTGTTATTATTTTACTATAAGTTATATTATATTATAATGATAATTATATTAGGAATATAAAATAACATATTATTAAATATTTGTAAAACTTTCCAACAGCTGTTAGAGTTTATAATTTGCATTCTTCAATTAATTCTTAAGAATTGTAACTTGCTGAATAATGAAATTAAGAGGTTTCGAAAATTACTATAAAGCTACAATTACTACACACTAAACTTGAAACTATGATAACTGTTATAATTTATAACTTTTAAACAACTAAATTCATATGATCTCATATGACATGAATTGTATGTTATATATATATATATAGTTCTATGTTATATATATATAGTTCTTTATTTCTAACATTTATTTTATTTGATTAAAGTTTATTTAATCTTAATTTAATTTACATTTTATATGCCATAATAATTGATTAATGATATTTAAAATTTAATTCATAATTTACAGTTATATTTTTTATTTAGAATTGTTTTAAATATTGTAATTACTAATGAGATTATGACGAAAACATACAGAATAATAAAAATCAAATAAAATGTTTTAATTTAGCCAGTACACTAGACATTTTATTATCTAAACAAGTTTATTTGTAAACAAAATGCTAAATTAGATATAAAATTAATGTTTATTACCATTATTTTGAAATTCTATTAAAAACAATTATGAATACAAAGTTTAATCTAGTACAAATATGAGATAAAGTTGTTAAATTATAATTGTTTATATTTAACAAAACTATTGGCAAATTAGATTTAAAAGTTTAGAAAATAAACGAAATCTATTTGAAAACAACAAAACTCAATATAATATTGTATAATAAATTGGACAACAATTATGAGAAACATTTTCCAAATCTTTTAAACCGTGAGATTATATTTGTCTTATTACTAAAATTAGTGCCAATATTTAATGTTTTATTTTGAAAACCAAATAAATGAAGAAATTATAAATTGATAATCCGTTGGAATGAATGGTCTTTGTCTTAGTGCTCAGTCAGCGTCGGGTGACTCTAATCCCGGCTTCAGAACGGAGAGTATGACTCCGTATGTCTTCTTCCAGGCATTGACGGCGTCCTGAGTCATGACAGTTGGTCCCAATTTGTCGGCCAGGAGTCCAACTAAAGTCTTCTCCAGATTGACAAACATATCGTACGATATTCTTCGGTTGCCGTGATTTCGGCCCAATTTGGTCAGCATTTCGACCAACACTTCCGTGTCGTCGATGTTGTCGACCAGCATTGAGATGGCGTACAAGACATTGGTTCCGTGAGCCAACACTTTCTTATTGCCTCTCAGCTCAGATTTGGGTACATTTTTAAATGATTTAAACAGTTGTTGATAAGTCGGGTTTTCGTCGAAAAACCTTTAAAAACATTTCAAATTAATTACATATTGATTGCCAAAAGATTGAAATATTGATATTTTGTTGACGTCTTTGGATTATTGCAAATATATTTCATTCATACATTCATAAGTTATCAAAGTTATCAATATACAGTAAGCGGATGTTTAGATGAGATATAACTATTTATCACTTTAAGAAACTAAATTATTTTTCAATAATTTCAATATCAGTTTAGTGGTCAGAGTGTCAAATAATTGGGTAATAAATATTTAGAAAAGTTGTTGCTATGAGGGATTGGTATGAGATATTTAATAAAACATAATGCAAACAAACTATACATTGACATCAAGATCAAATCATATAAATAAAGAATATTTAAAAAGATACAGAACTTCTAAATGCAAGTTATACTTTACTGTACTCTACTCTATATATCTTGTCAAATATTTAAAGGCAATTAGTGTTAATGTTATAAATATTGTATCACTTAATTAGAAAATTAGCTAAAAATAATCAAATCTTTATCAGAGTTATGTAATATAAACTAATTTATATTTATATTACTACATGTCTTTTCAAATAAATGATCAACATATGATTTTAAGGCATTCATCAATATCTCGGCATTGAAATGATATTTACATTTCTATTAAAATTAAAAATTTCTGTGTGAGTATTAGACAATTTTTATGAGATAAGTAATAGATTCAAGTATGTAATTCAAACGTCAATAATGAAGCAAATATTAAGATAATCAAAATGTGTGACTGAAGGTTGCATCAAACTCTTGCATTAATTGCAACGATAATACTTATAATGATTTAATTGTTTGCTAATTAGATATTCAATACATACTTATAAATTACAACAAATTGTATTCATATTAATGTTCAATATTTTTGGTCATTTAAATTATAGTTTAACATTATAATGTTATAATAAATGTATAAGTCATTAGAACTTAATGTTTATAACTTATTCATTCTTTATGAAATTTATTAAATATAATCTATAATTGACTAATAAATTAAAATTACATTGTTATTTAAGCCTAAAATTGAGTTTATTACTTATAATATTATTGTATTAATATTGAAAGCATTTTATTGTCTAGAATTTAGTGGTCTTTTATGAAAGGATCTGTTAATCTATTAATCAATGTTCAAAAGAGCTAAGGGTTGAGCTATTCTCTCCCAAAATATTTAACACCATTTCAAATGTATTTCATATATTCAGTCTTGTTATAAAACTTATGTAGTTCCCAAGATCTACTCTGGTTTCTTTATTGGCTTTCTACTTATAAATTAATACCCTCTTTGTTAGTCAATAGGCATTCATCAAATTTAAATGCCATTCATATGAATTGTAATTCTTATGACTTTTTCTAAACAATTACTTCTTAACACTTATAAAAGTCTTAAACAAAAGGAAATTTCAATTCTTATGATAAATATAAATCTTTTTTGAAAATCCTTGAAATACAAGCGTTGTTATAAAATGTAGTATATAATAAAACATAAGAAAACACACTAAATATTATTTACCTGATAAACAAATCGTATGCATTTCCGGGAACATCCTGCTTAACCAAAGCCCAAGTATTTCTGATTAAATTCTTCTCAGTCGCCGTCAAACCAGCCTTATCTGCCTCTTCAGACATTTTGATTATTGTATTAATATTTATCTGAAATAAAACAATAAATATTACAAAACAATTAAATAATAAAAATATGTGGAGAGAGAGAGAGAGAGAGAGAGAGAGCTAATATGCATTCACGTGAATACATAAAATTAGATTACTAGCGAAACTCACAGCAAAATGCGAGTGAAATTGTTGTGAATGAAAGTTGCGATGAGAGGCAAGTGCTGTGTTGAGCACAAACACGTCCTCTTTTATACAAAATATCACTAAACGTTGGCTTAAGTGTAGATTAAATGAAAAAATTATTGCTTTAGAAAATAATTGCTGAGCTTGAGGTCGAAAACAATTAGAGTAATTGTGTGGTAGAGTGGAGTATAACGTCTATATAATCTGTTGAATTCAATTAGGGCTCTCACTTCATATCGAAAGCACACATAATATACTCTCGACTCTTGTGGAAAGGGAGGGAAAGAGTGTCTGTCGTCCTTAACTTATCTCACATATTGAATCCGATTCGCGAAACATTGAAAACTTTGAACAGAAGGTTATTTCGCCAAAACTTTCTTAATCTCAGTCCTCATCGACTCTTACGCATTGAAAACAAATTCAAATATTGCCTACTATTCACTTCAAGCTCATTATTTGATGATTTCATGTCTCTAAACAAAGTGGAAACCCCCTTGAAATGAATGAATACTAAATTGAAAGCAAATTTTACTCATTCTTTGCATACTATTTAGAAATGAAAACACAATACAATCGACAAAACGCTTGTTTTCACTCTAAACTTGTATTCACTTTAGATTGTAGTATAAATATCTCTGCATTTAATCTCAATTTTATTTGATTCGCTACTAACTAATGATATTCACAAGAATTTTATATATTCTTCACTCACATGCTATTCCTTACTCTATATTCACTCAAAGCTCTAACGAAAGAAATGAAAGAATTTTCAATAATAAGTCAGAATTTGTATCAAACTATCATTTCTTCAATATTACTTCTTTACATAAACATAACATAGCATTAATGCTCAGTATATTTACTGTAAAATAAAACAATTTGATAAATATTATATAATGGATTAAATTAACTTTAAAAACAAAAACATTTTTAATGAATTGAAAACATAAAATTTTACATATTTTTTATACAATTTTATCATTTGGTTCTTACATTTTAAACCCAAAGATTTTATGCAAAATCTGTAAAAAATAAATTACTTATTATATTTGATTTAAATGTAGAAAATTAAAAATTATTCAACATTTTTATCACTAAATCAAAAAAGCTAGGAATTTGACAGAAAATAATTTATTTGTCGCATCAGTATAATTAAAATGTTCAAAATATGAAACGCTTTGATATAATATGCAAATTATTTGTTAGAATTTTGTTGATATTAATAAACACTTGAATCTTTTGCATATTATTTGACACAAAATTTAATAAATTTAGCAAAAAAGTGAAAAAGGGGTTTTAGTATAAGTTGTGACTAATCGATAAACTGAACAATTGGTATAAATAGTGAAAGTGGCATAACTGCTAAATATTAGACAACTCGTGATATACAGTAAACTATTTTTAACTGTTAATAACAACACTTAAAGCCAAAGAATTGGAGTATTTCTGCATTTAAATGTAGCAATCAATCGTTAAATCAGTGATTTAACTAATGGATAAATCAATGAATAATTAATTTTTAAAATAATTTACATATGATATATATATTTACTAGGTAAAATTATTTAAAATTGAATAAGAAAGTAAAATCACATAAAAACAACTAATTTCTTAGAATTTTCAGAATAATAAACATTATATTATATAACATTTCTTTCGATAATTAAAACATTTAACATTTAGACTAAAAAACATATTTCTTATATAACTTAACATTACGTAAAATTTATTACTCATTTTTTCTTTATAACTGATTTCCTGTGATGTGTTGCTTATTATTAGAAATGAATTTATATTTAATTTACACAAAAGATATTAAACACTCATTACTTCTCCATGTGATGTAATACAGTATATATTATATAATAAATTGCACACAAGAAAAGGACTCAATTATTGTGTATATTCTCTATTGTATTGCACTATAATATAGACAATATTTGTCATCCGTTAAGCCGTCACTAACCTAAACACACGATAACTACAATATATTATAATAGCGTTTAGAAGAATCTTATGCAACAAAATAATTATCATTTTCAGACTAACGACAAATGATTGACTCTTACGTTTATATTAAGTTTCAAAAAAGTAATTAAATAATTTTGACGCACAATTCAAATTGTTTTCACTCACACAACATATTTTCTGCGATTCCTTAATTAAATAATTGCTTTTAATATTTATTTATCAAATGATTTTCACAAAATGGGGTAAATATCTCAAATACATAAATGGAAACACTGTTTATAAAACTTTTGTATAAAGAGAAATTTGCATTTTTTTGTCATCTAATAAATTATTTTCTGTTAAAATTATCTTTCAGTATACTGTAATGCAAATACAGTATTTCACCTCAAGTCAAAAGGTCTCATTGTTATCACTTTAAGAATATTCTGTAATTCTGTCATTTCACTCATTTTTCAATTAATTGCTGAAATTTTTTTATAATGAGATAAATATTAACAGAATTTTAATATACTCTCGATTTTGATGTAATCGTTGCAAATTGAGGCACTATTTATAAAATATTTTAACTTTTGTAGCTATAATCAATTAAAATGTAACTAATTTATTTTAAATATCACATTCTCAATATGCAAGTGCAATATTGAGTATTTAAGTATTATATTACATTACAGTATTTATATTACAGTATTTAAGTAAAAATTAATAAAATAAATGAAATTAAGTCTAATATTTAATCTTGGTGAATTTAAGTTCGAGAATCAGTTGAATTTAAATGAGAATTAAGATTAAAATGAATACCCAATTGAAGGCAATATTAAATTTATATATTTGTAACGAATTTGTGAATGAGTTGTGAATCACTTTATATGTGAGAAGTACTGATTGTAAACAAACTTACGTTTTGTTTGTTTGATGTTTGAGTGAAAGCGATGAACAGATGATTGTCTACAATGAGTGACCATAAGGACAGTCACCTCCAGTACCACACT